TGTAACGTAGGTGTGATGTAACGTAGGTATGATGTAACGGGGGCATGATGTAACGGATGTATGATGTAACGGAGGTATGATGTAACGGGGGTGTCATTTAAAGGGGGTCTGATGTAACGGAGATGTGATGTAACGGGGGTCTGATTTAAAGGGGGTCTGATGTAACGGAGATGTGATGTAACGGGGGTCTGATGTATCGGAGGTGTGATGTAACGTAGGTGTGATGTAACGTAGGTGTGATGTAACGGAGGTGTGATGTAACGGAGGTGTGATGTAACGGAGGTGCGATGTAACGGAGGTGCGATGTAACGTAGGTGTGATATAATGGAGGTGTGATGTAACGGAGGTGTGATGTAACGGAGATGTGATGTAACGGGGGTCTGATGTAACGGAGGTGTGATGTAACGGGGGTGTGATGTAACGGAGATGTGATGTAACGGGGGTCTGATGTAACGGAGGTGTGATGTAACGGAGGTGCGATGTAACGGAGGTGTGATGTAACGGAGGTGTGATGTAAAGGGAGTCTGATGTAACGGAGGTGTGATGTAACGGAGGTGCGATGTAACGGAGGTGCGATGTAACGGAGGTGCGATGTAACGGAGGTGTGATGTAACGGAGGTGCGATGTAACGGGGGTTTGATGTAACGGAGGTGTGATGTAACGGAGGTGTGATGTAACGGAGGTGCGATGTAACGGAGGTGCGATGTAACGAGGGTTTGATGTAACGGAGGTGTGATGTAACGGAGGTGTGATGTAACGGGGGTCTGATGTTACGGAGGTGTGATGTAACGGAGGTGTGATGTAACGTAGGTGTGATGTAACGGAGGTGTGATGTAACGGAGGTGTGATGTAACGGGGGTCTGATGTAACGGATGTGTGATGTAACGGAGGTGTGATGTAACGGAGGTGTGATGTAACGGAGCTGCGATGTAACGGAGGTGTGATGTAACGGAGGTGTGAAGTAACGGAGGTGCGATGTAACGGAGGTGTGATGTAACGGAGGTGCGATGTAACGGAGGTGCGATGTAACGGGGATGTGATGTAACGGAGGTGTGATGTAACGGGGGTCTGATGTAACGGAGGTGTGATGTAACGGAGGTGTGATGTAACGGAGGTGCGATGTAACGGAGGTGTGATGTAACGGAGGTGTGATGTAACGGATGTATGATGTAACGGATGTATGATGTAACGGAGGTATGATGTAACGGGGGTGTCATTTAAAGGGGGTCTGATGTAACGGAGATGTGATGTAACGGGGGTCTGATTTAAAGGGGGTCTGATGTAACGGAGATGTGATGTAACGGGGGTCTGATGTATCGGAGGTGTGATGTAACGTAGGTGTGATGTAACGTAGGTGTGATGTAACGGAGGTGTGATGTCACGGAGGTGTGATGTAACGGAGGTGCGATGTAACGGAGGTGCGATGTAACGTAGGTGTGATGTAATGGAGGTGTGATGTAACGGAGGTGTGATGTAACGGAGATGTGATGTAACGGGGGTCTGATGTAACGGAGGTGTGATGTAACGGGGGTGTGATGTAACGGAGATGTGATGTAACGGGGGTCTGATGTAACGGAGGTGTGATGTAACGGAGGTGTGATGTAAAGGGAGTCTGATGTAACGGAGGTGTGATGTAACGGAGGTGCGATGTAACGGAGGTGCGATGTAACGGAGGTGCGATGTAACGGAGGTGTGATGTAACGGAGGTGCGATGTAACGGGGGTTTGATGTAACGGAGGTGTGATGTAACGGAGGTGTGATGTAACGGAGGTGCGATGTAACGGAGGTGCGATGTAACGGGGGTTTGATGTAACGGAGGTGTGATGTAACGGAGGTGTGATGTAACGGGGGTCTGATGTTACGGAGGTGTGATGTAACGGAGGTGTGATGTAACGTAGGTGTGATGTAACGGAGGTGCGATGTAACGGAGGTGTGATGTAACGGGGATGTGATGTAACGGGGATGTGATGTAACGGAGGTGCGATGTAACGGGGATGTGATGTAACGGAGGTGTGATGTAATGGAGGTGTGATGTAACGGAGATGCGATGTAACGGAGGTGCTATGTAACGGAGGTGCGATGTAACGGAGGTGCGATGTAACGGAGGTGCGATGTAACGGAGGTGTGATGTAACGTAGGTGTGATGTAACGGGGGTGTGATGTAACGGAGGTGCGATGTAACGGGGGTTTGATGTAACGGAGGGGTGATGTAACGTAGGTGTGATGTAACGGAGGTGTGATGTAACGGAGGTGTGATGTAACGGGGGTCTGATGTAACGGATGTGTGATGTAACGGAGGTGTGATGTAACGGAGGTGTGATGTAACGGAGCTGCGATGTAACGGAGGTGTGATGTAACGGAGGTGCGATGTAACGGAGGTGCGATGTAACGGAGGTGCGACGTAACGGAGGTGTGATGTAACGGAGGTGGGATGTAACGTAGGTGTGATGTAACGGTGGTGTGATGTAACGGAGGTGCGATGTAACGGGGGTTTGATGTAACGGAGGGGTGATGTAACGTAGGTGTGATGTAACGGAGGTGTGATGTAACGGAGGTGTGATGTAACGGGGGTCTGATGTAATGGAGGTGTGATGTAACGGAGGTGTGATGTAACGGAGGTGTGATGTAACGGAGGTGCGATGTAACGGAGGTGTGATGTAACGGAGGTGTGATGTAACGGAGGTGCGATGTAACGGAGGTGTGATGTAACGTAGGTGTGATGTAACGGAGGTGCGATGTAACGTAGGTGTGATGTAACGGAGGTGTGATGTAATGGAGGTGTGATGTAACGGGGGTCTGATGTAACGGAGGTGCGATGTAACGGAGGTGCGATGTAACGTAGGTGCGATGTAACGGAGGTGTGATGTAACGGGGGACTGATGTAACGGAGGTGTGATGTAACGGAGGTGCGATGTAACGGAGGTGCGATGTAACGTAGGTGCGATGTAACGGAGGTGTGATGTAACGGGGGACTGATGTAACGGAGGTGTGATGTAACGTAGGTGTGATGTAACGTAGGTGTGATGTAACGGAGATGCGATGTAACGGAGGTGCGATGTAACGGAGGTGTGATGTAATGGTGGTGTGATGTAACGGAGCCAACGACCGTCCGCTCTCCTGACAAACACTGTGTCCACTAGACCGCGGTGTTGGTAGAGACCAAGTTAATGCCTATTTAATAGATAGTAATGATACTGTTAGTTTTGAGTACTAACAAGGGAGTTAACCGACTGCAAAAGTCCTGTTTCCACTTTTGCCGAACTTGGCAGGATTTTCTGTGCCGATCGTAGCGTCACCAGTGGCTATTACGAGTTACGTCCCTTTTATGACCCTCCTACTGACCAATCAGATTCCATCTCTCGTACCACTTGCAATTGCTTCAAACAAAACTGCAAGGCCCAGTCAAGATGATCTAGTCGATAAACAAAATCTACACTGTAAGTACACTTTATTCGTGAAGTGCACATGTTTTGCATATCCTGCACGGCAATTAACGCGATTTTGATTGGACTATGCAGTGACTCGTTAGTCGAGCCAAAATGAAACTCCATAATTCCAATCTTGTTCGGCAAGGGTGGAAATAGGACGTTAAGTCAGTTAGCTCCCTTGCCTCGGGAATAGGGACTCCTAAGAGTGTCGAAGGCATTAGTCACGCCCCTTACTGAAGGAATGGTTACAAAACATATCTCCTTAGGGGTATGATGCTGTTCAACATGAGGCACACCAAGATCAGAGATCAGAAAATGTTGTGATTATTTTTGCTTGAGTACTAACAAGTGAGTGAGTGAGTGAGTGAGTGAGTGAGTGAGAGAGAGAGAGTGAGAGAGTGAGTGAGTGAGTGAGTGAGTGAGTGAGAGAGAGAGAGTGAGAGAGTGAGTGAGTGAGTGAGTGAGTGAGTGAGTGCGTGCGTGCGTGCGTGCGTGCGTGCGTGCGTGCGTGCGTGCGTGAGTGAGTGAGTGAGTGAGTGAGTGCGTGAGTGCGTGAGTGAGTGAGTGAGTGAGTGAGTGAGTGCGTGAGTGAGTGAGTGAGTGAGTGAGTGAGTGAGTGAGTGAGTGAGTGAGTGAGTGAGTGAGTGAGCGAGCGAGTGAGGTTTTACACAGCTTTTCCAATATTCAAGGAATATCACGGCGGGGGACACCTGAAATGGGTTTCACACATTGTACCCATGTCGGGAATCGAACCGGGTCTTCGGCATGACCAGCGAACGCTTTAACCGCTGGGCTACCCGACCGCCCCTGTGCTTTTGTACCAAATATTTGTTGAATATAAGTTGTTTTTTTTACTATATTTTTTCTATTTTGGAGAACAGCTGACGATGATACAAGAGAAAAACACCAGTTATTAATAAAAAGCTACCTCTACCTACAGCAGAGTCGACTGTGCAATGCCGACAATATCATGAGCATGCGTCCATGAATCACCGTTTTTTAGGAAATATTATATATGATTATTCTTGTCTTGTTATTATGGTTTGATTATTACTGAAGGAATGCTGGACTTTGTACGGGACCATGAAGCAAGGCTATATAGATAATCACACATGTTTATGTTTTTGTGCACAATATTTGATGAATATAGTTCTATTTCGCTGCATCGTCGTGTTTTGGTCTACAGATGACCAAGTAGACAGAGAAGGACCTGTTAAGCTGAAACACATGGACTAAATACCAGTTATAAAAAGTGGTTAGAACATTTTAAATTATGTGATTATTATTTGACTTCAAGACGTGATTATGATTGACTATTGCAGCACGAAATGCCACATAAGTGTTGCAGGGGCCAATAAGGCAAGCACGTAACGAATTATCAAAGGGAACCAAACCATGGTGTTGATGGCACATACTACCAGCACATACTACTAGCACTTACTACCAGCACAAACACACAGAGAACAACCAGGCAGCGAGTCTTCCATGTGTGACCTGTTCATTCATTCCTGGGTCATTCTACATTTGCTAGGACAATGGCTTGCAACAAAAACAACAAATTGCAAATTTAGTAATAGATGTTTATTTTTATATAAAAAAGAACCCCTTCACTACCAGTCTAATTACATATATACAGAGTGTAAGCCACATATAAAAAATACACGTATACCATCATACATGCTCATTTGATGGGTTATCTCCCTTAAATACACAAGTCAAAGAGCAGGCCATTCAGGATCCACATCAAGCAAAAGTTTGCCATCTTACATGCTCACGTCACTTGATGGACTGTCTCCTTTGAATGATCAACTTAAAGGGCGTTCTTTAAAGATCCACATCAAACAACAGTTTGCCATCTTACATGCAACGCCACTTGATGGATTGTCTCACTTCAATCAGACCCTCCCCATCCAACAGTTTACCCGAATAGCGAACCACTTAAATGAAGACTATCTGCATCTTTGCTCATGTAAGCAAATCGTCTGAAATATCCCTCACTCACTCACTCACACAATCAATACTGGTTAGTGTGCGAGAAGCATACATGAGCTGTGACGCCATTGGTCTGCTGGCCACATGCCACTACATTGGCTCGATACGTCACTACCATGGCTAGATACATCACTGCCGTGGCTAGATGGTTCTAGCGTCGAAGGCAGAAGTGTCACCAAAACAGTGTTCGTCTGTATCTATATCACTAGGTCCTTTCACTGCATCTTGTGTATGTCTCATAGAGTCCCATACACCAGTTCCCACACTGTCAGTGGAGATACACCCACCACTCATCATATCACGGTTATTGTCACACAGAACTTCCTCATCCAGATGCTTCAAGCAGATCAAGGTCACTGAGCAATGCTGCATTCACTGACGTCTTAGAGGCCAGTGTTCGTGGATGCAGAGTATAAAGACACGTGTGACACCCTCCTTGTGTTGTCTATAACATGCAGTTCTTCAAGGACTGGCGACCACTACAAGTACAAACGACAAGTGTGACACCCTCCTTGTGTTGTCTATAACATGCAGTTCTTCAAGAACTGACGACCACTAAATGTACAGGAGACAATTGTGACACCCGCCTTGTATTGTCTATAACATGCAGTTCTTCAAGGACTGACGACCACTAGAAGTACAAACGACAAGTTCGACACCCTCCTTGTCGTGTCTATAACATGCAGTTCTTCAAGGACTGACGAGCACTAAACGTACAGGAGACAATTGTGACACCCGCCTTGTATTGTCTATAATGTCTATAGAGTTACAAGTGTGACGTCTCATTGTATTGTCTTTCGTGTCAATGACCAACGTGCACTATAATGAGTTGCACTCGCATATAAGGAGAGGACATATCACATTCATGCAGTTCGTACTGCACCAGTCGTCAAAGCGCTTGAGTCCAGCATACCTGCCTGTGGCCCTGCAGAAGTACTTGCCCTTCTGGGCCCACACGTTCTGGGAGGGGCGCGAAGGCGTGGAGTGGGAGGGCGTCCGCTCGCGGGGAGGGGAGAAGATGGATCTTGAGGGCTGTTTGGGAGACTGGCTTCGCATTTGTGGCTGTCGTCGAGGTTGCTGTCTGTGAAGCTGCTGGCGAGTACGTTGTTGAGGACGTTGTTGAGGACGTTGTTGGGTACGTTGTTGGCTGTGTTGTTGGTTGTGTTGTTGGCTGTGTTGTTGGGTACGTTGTTGGCTGTGTTGTTGGCTGTGTTGTTGGGTACGTTGTTGGCTGTGTTGTTGGCTGTGTTGCTGGCTGTGTTGCTGGCTGTGCTGCTGAGGCTGTGACTGGGTACGGATGGAGTGTGGAACTGTCTGCTGTCTTGGTGCGAAGGGACTCAGACTCTGCGATGCCCGTGCCTGGGTGTATTCATTGAGTCGTGGTCTGTACGTGTTGGTCCAGGATTGTGTCTGGCCTGGGAACATGGAGAAGGCAGGGTACGAGGGCTCGTCCGGCTGGCACATGCACATTCCCCCGGGGCAGAAGTTGGCGTTACAGTTAGCGGTGCACCACTCGTCCATCCCACCACCTAGCGTGATAGTGGCACGGCACTTCAGAAGCGGAGTGACGGCGGGACGGTCCCAGAAGTAGTTGACGGGTCTCTGATACTGGTTCCACCACATGGTAGACATCTGGTTGTTGCCATAGGCGCCCTGGGATTGATGACTGGGCAGTGTCTGTCTGTGGTTGACCAAAGGCTGCTGAGGCACAGGTTGGAAGGAGATGACTCGCTGGTGGCCCAAGTTGCTGCTACGCTGGCTGTACTCCTGTTTGTCAGACTGACGAGGGTTGTTGTGGACAGGTTGTGTATCGTCCTGGCGAGGTGGTGGTGTCCTCATCGTCTTCTTCACTGCTTTAGTTTGTGGTTTCTCAGTCACGCAGTTGTGTGTGGTCATCTTTGTTGAAGTTACACCCTTCGGAATTAATCGTCCATTCTGCACAGGGGATCTTGGGATTTCCAAAACTGTTTGCTTTACTAATGGTCTGACCGTTTGTTTGACAGGTCTAGGTGTCTGTCTGATTGGTTTTGGTGTCTGTTTGACTGGTCGTATTGTGTGTTTGATTGGTCGAATTGTCTGCTTGACTGGCCGTGTTGGTTTTCTGAATGGACTTTGTTGGCGCTTATTGGAACTGATAAGCCATGATTTTGACGGTCCCCTAAGGACCTTCGCCCTTGGTGCCTGGGTGACAGTTCTGCGGGGCTGAGTTTTAGGTTTAGGCTTAGGTGTTGACTTGGGTCGAGGGGGTGTGGTTTTAGGTGTGGCAGGGGCAGTCTGTCTGACAGGCTTTCTGGACACTGGATGCTTAACCTCAACAGTCTTGGTTGTTGGCTTAGCTTTGGCCTGTTTAACATTTGGTTCATTTTCAACCTTGGGTGGATGAGGCTGTTGCTGTCTTCCCTTGCTGAGGTTGTTGTGACTCTTCATCTTCTGGGACAGCTGCTTCCTCCTCATCCCCAGCCTCCGCCTGCCCGCCATGTTCCTTCGCTGCATCAGCCAAGGCGTGGATGCCCTCCAGTTGTACTTCACATCCTGGGGGTGTTTTGGCTTCATCTTCCGTCGGCTGGTGGGGTTGGTTGCTATGGAGTTGCTCTGCTTCTTGACTGCGGGTTTCTTCGCCGTGGCTGCCTCAGCCGTCTTGTGGGCGATTTTGTTGATAAGGTTTTTCTTGTCCATGTCGTGTTTGGATTCCACTTGAACATTGATCTTGATTTTCTTTTCTTCGGGCGCCTGGGTGGTGGATGGCTTCATGTTCTGTTCCTTCGTCCACTTGGATTTCTTTCCTTTAGGGAGAATCTCAATGTCAGCACAGTTGTAGAACTCTTCCTGAGGACCACATCCGAGGCAGAACAGGCCAGACTTGTCATCCTTGTCCCACGTATTGCCTAGAAACCAAAAATAATTTTTATAACACACCTGAACACGCGTAGAGAAAGAAGTGCTTCTAGACGCGAACATTATTCAGCAGAATATTATTTTGGGGGGCCAGATTCTGTTGACACTATTATGAAGCCTGGTTTTAAGTTTAAGATGCTGGCTGAATTCAGAACAAAATTAAAACAAATATCTAAATATACATTGTCATACATTCTCTCATATTAAATGTTTTGTCGACAAAATTTCCTTCTGTTCGAAAGTCCAGTTTTCCATCAGTTAACACAAGTTGTGGTTCCAGTCCCCTATGTCTGTCGAGTGTCGCATGTCGAGTGTCGAGCGTCGAGTGTCGAGTGTCGCATGTCGAGTGTCTATGGTCGCATTTCGAGTGTCGTTTGTCGGGTATCGAATGTCACATGTCGAATGACGAGCGTCGAGTGTTGAGTGTTGAGCGTCGACGCTCGCATGTCGCATGTCGAGTGTCGCATGTCGCATGTCGAGCTTCGCGTGTCCCGAGTCGAGTGTCGAGTGTCGAGAGTCGAGAGTCGAGGGTCGCGTGTCGCGAGTCGAGTGTCGAGGGTCGCATGTCGAGAGTCGCATGTCAAAAGTCGAGAGTCGAGTGTCGAGTGTCGTATGTCGCATGTCGAGAGTCGAGTGTCGCATGTCGAGAGTCGAGTGTCGCGAGTCGAATATCGAGGGTCGCATGTCGAGAGGCGCATGTCAAAAGTCGAGAGTCGAGTGTCGAGTGTCGTATGTCACATGTCGAGGGTCGAGCACCACACGACGAGGGTCGAGTGTCGTTGCTGCATGCCGCTCCCAGACCCGACTGCAGTTAAACTATGTGAAAGACGCGTTCACCCCTGATACAAGTGGGTGCGTGGGTACCTTTAACTTTTTAAATTACAGACCAGTCATATCATAGCGTCAAACACAAGAAATATCCCTCACATTTTATTCAATTTTGTAGAATTGAACCCGGGTCGTTGTGACTAGCGGACGCTTTAACCGCTGGGCTATTCAAGCTTCCATCAATAAACTGCTGAATTCCAACTGGTCCTAGCTACCAAACTCGTGAAGATCAGGGGTAGAATAGGTCTTCAGCAACCCATGCTTGCCGTAAAAGGAGACTATGCTTGTCGTAAGAGGCGACTAACGGGATCGGGTGGTCAGGCTCGCTGACTTGGTTGATACATGTCATCGATCCCAATTGCGTGGATCGATTGTCATGACATTAATGACTGGATTGTCTGGTCCAGACTTGATTATTAACAGACCGCCGTCATATAGCTGGAATATTGCTGAGTGCGGCGTAAAACAACAAACCAACCACCCTCGTTACCCACCTGTCCTGTACTTCCACTGGATGACGCACTGCTTGCACGTGAGCCCCGGGGGTAGCTGGACTGTGTAGTTGAAGAAGGCGTTGTATTTCCCCTTGGGGACGAAGTACTTCATCCCCTTCCCGTCCGGCCGCTTCAGTTGATGCTTGTCCAGACATTTCTGTGTCACTCTCTTCTTGGGGTCGTTGACGGGACAGATCCTGAACTCGAACCAGCCCAAGTGGTTGGCAGTGAGGTGCACGGTCACGGGGATGGTGTCCCCCTCGTGGAAGCTGCGGGTGATGATGCCGTTGGCGTATTTACCGCCGGCTTCGTGGTCGTTCTTGCCGTGGTAGGCGTCGCCACAAACTCCGCACTTGCCGCTGTTTCGGAGCCATTGGACCTGGAAGTAGGAAGGGTGTTAAACATTGTGGCACAGTGCAACTGAGTGTGTGAGTGAGTGAGTTTAACGCTGCTTTCAATAGCATTCCAGTTATATCGTGGCGTGTCTGTTTGATGTGGGAGGAAAACCCGAAGTGATGCCGGTCTTAGACGTTTACTACTTTGGTGAGTGAGTGTGGTTTTACGCCGCTTTTAGCAATATTTCAGCAATATCACGGCGGGGGACAACAGAAATAGGCTTCACACATTGTACCCATGTAGGAAATCGAACCCAGGTCTTCGGCGTGACGAACGCTTTAACCACTAGACTCCCCGACCGCCCCCCTTCTTCGGTGAAACCCACGAGCATGGGTATTGTGCTGACAGACCTAGAAACTTAATCGTGGCGAACCGGGACTCGAACCTACAATCATATGTTTCTGGCGTGCCCAAGGGACGCAACCCTGCACAGCGAATTGCGGCGCCTTAGACGACCGGACCACCCGTTCTTTTCAGCAATATATCTTTAATTGTTTACTAGTTCAACGTATCGCACATAATTGATGATGCCGTCATTCATTGCCCCTGACGTCAGAGACATGTTCAATATGACGTTTTCCAACAATAGATGACGTAACAACCAGTTCAATAAATGCATACTATTACAAAACTCCCTAACAACATTGTATTTACGTGGCATTTGATTGGCTGAACAAGTATTGCGTGTCTATTCACATAACCCGAAAAGAACATTAGGCCATGACCGCTAACGGGCTACTGTTTCCTGATTGGCTGATAACGGAATGGGCGGGGCTTGTGTTGCATTACTGTACTGAACATTGCCACAGATTTCGTACTGTCTACGTTTTAGTGATTTATTAGTAATATATCTGAACCTGTTACTGTTGACGAATAATTTTATAAGAATTCACTTTAAAATGGTCTTGCCTTTGCATAAACTATTGAATTCAATTCTTAAATATGTTTTACAAGTTTTAGTGAACATGTGAACCTTTTTGAACTCTTGTGAACAAACATTAGGACACTCAACTGTGTTTGAGAAAATACATTATCGTCAAAAATAAAAGTCACGGCTTCGTTTATCACAAAGAACTTTAGTTAATCATTCAAAAGATAATCACATTCTTTGACAATCAGATGGTAGTATGATACATATTAAATACATTGCAAATGACAAAGATATCAGCATCTGTGTACGACTTACTTCTAGCAAACATGTAGGAAAATATGAACAGATAACGGCTCCGTTTTACGATAGGGATAATAACTGTTAACGTTGTTAAATTTAATACTGGTTTCGGGCTAGCATAAGTTACAAGCATAACGTTATGGGGAGAAATATCCCGCATATGTAACAGAGAAATGTTCGACATACGTAACAGAGACATTATCTCATTCATGTTACAGAGGACTATCCCATTCATGTTACAGAGGACTATCCCATTCATGTTACAGACATCATCTAAGACAGTACACTTGACTGCTTCAACTATTACAGAGACACCTGTCACATCCTCTAAGACAGTACACTTGACTGCTTTAACTATTACAGAGACACCTGTCACATCATCTAAGACAGTACACTTGACTGCTTCAACTATTACAAAGACACCTGTGACATCCCTATGGCAGTACACTTGACTGCTTCAACTATTACAAAGACACCTGTCACATCCCTATGGCAGTACACTTGACTGCTTCATCAACTACCCCCACTTGTATCCTGTTTACAAAGTAAAGAGGAATGATAAAAATCATGCGCTTATGGTAACCCGGCGTGTTTGATGTGAGGGCACCGGCCTTTGTTTGCAGTCGACTAACTTCCACGGGCTCCTCAATTGACTCGTACACATACAAACACGTCGGTATTTCCGCTGTAGCAAGCCCAAGTCTCGCTGTCACGAAGTTATCCGAGATTATGACATGACGTCACAACATGACTTTCATCCCGACAGCATTGTTACGTTGAATATGGATCAATATTGGTTTATACTATTCCTTCATCAGTTGTCTTCAAGGTAAAACTCCTGGCGCCACCTAGCGGGAAATTCTGCTCTCTGGCTGTGGATTGTGGATTTGTTTAGTTGTACTCTGAACGTATTTACAGCTTGTTTACTATTGTCCGAGGCTGGTGTGAGATATTGACCACAAGTCAACAGAACGTGACTACAGACAGGGGCGTTCTATTCTGACAAGGTTTTTTTGTGAAGTTGGTATTGATCAAGGTGACGCTGCTTCTCTGTCACTATCTTTAAGACAGGTACATTGGAAACTCACAGAGAAATATAAAACCCAAATCTTATTGTTTTACTTACACCTGCTCCCAGCCCACTAAGATCCCAAGGCAGGGAAAAGACACGTGCAGAGGTTTGAACATGTCTGTTTTGAAAGGGAGGTCACTCTCAGCAGCACGCTGCACAATTTAACACTGATTGTTTGTTTATTTTGTTTTAGCCGAGGTTAGTTAACAAACGAAGCAATTAAACGTGACTTATTTCAGGAAAAAAGACCTTCAGAAAGTTCCTAATGTTATTGTCTCCATTATTTGACGCAGATCAACAATGTCCACACTGGGAATTCCTTTGTTTAACTGGAACAACTTCGGTGTATGTTTCGGACAGTGGAATGATTATCAACGTAGTGCTTGAAAGACTTTTATCATAATGAGAGGTTATGATGAAATGAGAGGGAGATAATGAGAGAGGGAGAGCGAGAGAATGAGAGAGAGAGAGAGAGGGGGAGAGATAGAGAGAGAGGGAGGGAGAGAAAGAGAGAGCGAGAAGAGGGAGATAGAGAGCGAGAGAGTGGGAGGGAGAGAGAGGGGAGCAAGATAGCGAGTGAGAGGGAGAGAGAGAAAGTGAGGGGAGGGAGTGAGATAGAGGGAGAGAGAGGGAGAGAGAGAGACAGACAGACAGAGATAGAGGGACAGAAAGATGATTTTAACAAAGGATACGCTCACCTTTTCGCGAGCACCAGGTACCATCACAATGTCATAACGATTCACAAACACATGTTTCTCATATAGTCGGTATAGCACAATGATTATTGTCTTTGTCACTCTTCTTGCGGAACTTCTAAACACATCTATCTCTGGCAATGATGGTAAAACGTTTATAAGAATATTAAGTTGCAATTTATTCTACATCACATCACATCAAGGCGTGGACATCACACTGACGTTCTGCGGCCACATCTGTACACGCAGATAAGTCATCAACAATACAATCAGCGTAGGTCCCAGGCTTTCATGTCTGATTTTCCTTAACTAAACAAGGCCTTCCCATGAATCTCCTTGTTCAACCACACAATGTACCACTCTTGGAGTTAGTATTAAGCCAATATGATGACGTTATATTGGTGCTTAATGTCTCATCTGGAGGATATACATGTATATTGCGAACACAATATAACCAAAGCACTGACGTCAGGTCGAAGCTGGCCAGAACAGGGGCGTTTAAACCTGTCTTCATCATTTCATAATTCCTGTGGTAAAACACCCGGTGCTATCCTAAACCCCTATGATTTACTAAACCCCTTTCTGTCGTTATTTCTTAGTGAAAGTTTTGATTTCTAAACCACTTTCCCTCGATACGTCAATTGCTAAACCTTTTCCGTCATAACTCCCTCGATACATGTTCATTTACTAAAACCTTTTTCACTGGAAACAATTTCATTTACAAATCCTTTACAATTTTCTGTCGTAATTCCCCAGATACGGCATTTGCTAAACGCTTTCCCGTCGCAATCCTTGATACAAGTTCATTTACTAAACCTTTTCTGTCGTAATCCTAGATACAAGTTCATTTACTGAACCTTTTCTGTCGTAATCCTAGATACAAGTTCATTTACTGAACCCTTTTCCGTCGTTATTCCCTAGATACGTCATTTCCTAAACCTTTTTCTGTCGTAATTCCCAAGATACAATTTCATTTCCTAAACACCTCTTTGTCATAATTCCCCCGACACAATTTCCGGTGTTATCCTAAACTCTTTATGTCAAACTCCCTTTGATACAACTTCCAATGTCTTCCTAAATCCTAAAACTCCGATCTCCAGTGCTGTGTAATAATACCTACGATGGCCAAAATTGTGTGAAAGCGTTTTTGTCCCACAAACATTTCTAAATGCGTCCACAACATTTGTTGGAGAAATTACCCACCTATTGAAGTGTTTTTCCTCAGCCTTTGAAACCGATTCTTTAAACATTTCGTCAATTTGTGTGTGTGTGGCAATGTGTAACCTGGCTGTTAATTTATCAATGATGGACTCGTTGACGATGTTCAGAGGGTTCCCGACATACCACCTTGTAGGAAGAGGAAGTACTCCTCAAAGACAGACTCGCAGATCAATGCCACGCATCCTGTTTTGGCCACATATTTCGCCAGCCTCTGACAAAATCAATCAGTTTGAACTAAAGGCATGTTCAACATAGCCCAGCCTGATCAATGTGTCGGAACAAGGAAGTGATGAGTTAGTTATCGCGATGCTATTGTTTAGGGTTAAATGTTTAGTGGGTGTGTGGCTAGTTTATCTTTTGTATTTGTTCGCCTCAGTGTGGTCAGTGTCGCTGATGTAGAGACACACTGTGTTGTGTAACCTCCCATCCCCCCTCCCCCCCCCCCCCCCCCCCCCCCCACGGAGATTGGACGTGTATTGATCATGTATTACGTCCGTATGACGTTTGTCTTTACGTCGAGTACACACGCCAGGGACTGGCTTGCTAGGGGTGTTAATAAAAAGAGGTGAGGTGAGGTGAAATTGGGTTTAACGTCGCGTCCAAGATTATTGCACTTATATAGCGACGTGCATGCACGTGTATGTGTGTGTGTGGCTGCTTGTACTAGTCCGGACTGATGCCGATTTATAGTGCTAGCTCACTGAGATACCATGCCGCAGTTTAACATGAATACCCCACTCAGACACAGTATACTGACTCCGAGCCGACCAGTCCTTGTTTTAGCCCCTTAATGCCGAGCGCCAGACAGGGTAACAACAAGTACA